ATCCCACGGCCAAGAAATCCTGAGCCCAACGCACCACATGCGCCAGGGCCCACTGATCTGCTTTGGACTCATGAAGTGCGAACGTGAATGATCCGCTTTTGCCTTTACACCTTGGCCCTGTGGCCGAATATTCAGCTCTAAGTTGTTCCAAATACGGGTCAGACCAAACTTCAATACTCAAGGCAAAAGCTCCAGCAGGCAAAAGTCGGGCTCCCTGGCCCATAACTCGAAATGACTGCATGCAAAGCGCAGCTCTATGTTTGACCCTCTGGAACCTCCTGGCTCTCTTGGTAGTGTTCCTGGAAACAGTATCTGAATACCCAGCTCTGAAGACTGACCCCAGGTTGGAGGCTACTTGCTGTTGTTTCCCTGGCCAAGCTCCTAGGGCTTTCTGGTTGTTCCTGCCAAATGTCGCCAGTGAGGCGACAAGTGAAAACTTGTCCACTGCCAAGGTGGCGTCTAGCACACCCTTGATGGCGGCAAGCTGCATGGCGGCCTGCGCGATCCACTTAAACTCGTCCTTGCTCAAGCCGCACGCCGTGAGCAAAAAACCTCGAAACGCATGCATACTGGCTGGTAGACCAACCCGCACTGGGAAATGTGGCCTGCCCTGCCACTCAAACTCTGTTGAAACTGATGAGACCAGCTTGGCCAGCTCTGCCTCAACGGCGTAATAATATATGACCTTTGACGTTTCTTGACTTGATAAGTTCGGCTCCGAAACGAACATTTTGGCCCCTTGCACCTCTGAAAACCCAGAAGACGCCAGAGCCTCATACGGTATGTTGGAGCTTCCCCCAAATACATAATGCATATGTGACGCTTGACTGTGTGTGGCCGTCCGATCCATTAACTCCCCATGAGTAACAGAAATGCTTACAGCGACTTTCCAATAGACCGAGGCACAACTGATTTCTGGGGTCCCTGGGAACTCTACCACACTAAACAAATCGCACCTCCGAAAACGTAAGCCCTCGGAGGGAATGCAATGTGGCTCAAGAATGTAGGCCCTTAGAGTGGCTCTCGCAAAAATGGCCTCTCTAGACGACTCGCCCTCGTCCCAAAGGTCTAAAAGACTGGAACGAGACGTACAATAAGGGCCCGTGGCATTTGGCGCCCAGGATGACTTCAAGCCATAGTTTAGGGCCCAAGCACGATCGGTTCCCAGGGACCCCTCAGGATACTTGATCTCCTGATCAAGCAAAACTGCGCCCGAGGACGTTGGAACCTCCCCGAGCCTGTGCGTTGAAAATCCCCAAGACGAGCAAATAAATGTTTCCTCCAGCATGGTCACCCCACCATCACCAATTTCCCACTCAAACTGGCACTGGTCGATATCAAAATCGCTGTCGGAAAACTCTGACCTGTCTTGGCTGAAGTCACTATGGTGCTCTGTGCTGGAGGAGCCTGCATCAGCGCCTGCCTCGCAAAGACCTGCAGGCGTAGAAACATATTGGCTACCCTGGCGACCTCTTGGCCGCCTCAGCTGCTTCGTCGTCTGAAACTTCTGCGGCACCGCCTCCAGCGCCACGGGGTGAGCGTGACCCACGATCACGATCTTGTCCCTCATCGTGTGCTGGTGACTGCCCCTTGCCCACTCCTGAGCCTCGCCCCGCACCTGGTCCAGGAGGAAACCGATGTCCAGCTGGCTTCGGCACGGCTGGGTGCTTTGCGACGGTCGGCCTCGGTGTTGGCGGAGTCCACACAGGCTTGGGCATCTGAGTTCCCACCGCCTTGGCGAGCTCCTTCTTCTTAGCCTCCCAGGCTGCACGCTGCTCCCCTGGAAGAAGTGACTCCAATGCTTCGAGCTGCTGTCTCTCCCAGGCTGGGGCCGTGATCATCTTCACCAACTCGCATCCCACGATTTGCAGCCTCCTCAAACTGTTGAGCCAACCGCTGTGCCGCTGTAAGTAGTTGGGCGATCTCGGCGTCCCGAGGGGCCTTTGCGACCAGAGACTCCAGTGAGAGCTCGAACGAAGTGAGGTCACCGAGGTGTGCACGAGCTGGCGTCGCGCATGTCTGGGATTGCGGATCCTCCGCAGTCTTGAGCTGCTTCTCGGCCTCGTCCAGCCTCTGCTGTAACTGCTTGCTGCCGTCCCGCAGGGTCTCAAGTAGTGATTCCATCTGCCCAAGGTCCTATGTGTTCTCGTCCAGTTGCTTGCGCAGCCTGTATACTTTGTCCCTTGCTCTCTTGACACGAACCGTCGCTCGATGCACTTGATTGTGATGGGGCAGGTGTACCGCGGCCTGCTCCTTGAGCTGCGTAAGTTTCTGTCTGGATGCTGCAAGACTCTGCTCATGGCCAGGGACGAGATCCTCTGTGACTGAGCTGGCGTAGGCGATGTACTTCTCAAGAGACTCGATCTGGCTGTGTATCTTATCCGCTGCCACAGTTGTGGCTGCTTGCTGTTGTTCGTCATCTCCATCTCCTTCTGGCTGAAGCGGCGACTTGGATGGAGGGGTGGCGCCTCCATACCGATTGTGACAGTACTTGAACAAATCTGATTGCTTCGCTCCAGCTGCATGTTGGAATGACGACGCACTTCCAGCTTCTCCTTGATCATTCCCTTTTCCCTTCTTTGGTGGCCAACCATTTGGCGGCTGAAAGTTGGCCCCGCAATACTTGCACTGGCGCATGCCAGCATTGATAAATACCCAGCTGCTGAGGGCAATTCTTGCATACCACCCATTGCCTCGGCCTGCCGCCGGCCATGGCTGCGGAATGATGATCGAATAAACTATGGCTGCAATTCGCAGCGCAAGGGAACGGAGAATGACAGACAGCCCCCTGGCCTGGGAGCGGCCACCTGTGGGGGCCGTCAGAAACTGGTCCTGCACCACCTTGAGCCAAAAAGGCTTGAGCCAAAATGGCTACGGAAGGCGGGGAAGCCCGAAACGGCCGAAGTCATCAGAAGCCAGTTGGTCTTCGAAAGTTCTGGGCAGCTTCGGGTTGCCGGCATCACATGGCCCGAAGAGGACTTCGGAGGGATGGGGCTCCAGCGATGGGCCAAATGAGCCGAAGGGGGTTCCAAGAGTCTCCAAGGACTGCCCAGGGCTTCCAGAGAGTCCACAACGGCGCCCAGAGGCCTCCAGAGGTTTCCCTGCGCGACGGCGTGCGTGGGCTGAGGTTCAAGTGGCGGCCAACGGATGCCAAGTCCGCAGCCTGGGCCAGCCGGATGAGCAGACCGCGGGGAGGACCCCATGAGGGGTTCCGAGGGCTTTTTGGAAGGGTATGGGTACAAGGAGTGAGTATGTAAGATGACTGAGGGGGATAAGTCCTTGCAGACCATGCGGCGGGGATCTCACACGACATACCCTGTGGAGCGTTGGATCGCTTCGCTCAGTCCGCCAGCCCATGCAACATGTAGTGTGCAGTGGCATCCGGCCAGACTGGGTCGTGGACAGGAGGGTCCCTTGGGAGGCCTCTCGGGGTCCCTTGGCCACATTTTTGTGGCCCTCCTGGGGCCTCTTGGGGGTGTCTTGGGGGCCACCGGGGGCCTACTGGAGGCTTCACTTAGGGCGTGCTTGCGGTCTCGGGGGCCATCTTCAGGGAATGGGCTCGATATGGCAGTTCGGGCTCCCCTCTCATGGGCCTTCTTGGGGGCCTCTCGGGCCCCCCTGGGGGCGCCTTTTCGGGCAGTCTTGGGGCCCTCCCGGGGGCCTCCTGGGTTGTCTTGGGGCGATCGTGGGGCCTCCTGGGCTTGGGCGGGTGGATAGCAGCCTGGATGAGGTTTCTCTGTCGTTTTGTGCGTTTTTGTTGTTTCGTTTTTTGCTTTCGACGACACGGGCCCATGGGGCCCCTGGCCTGGTCGGTTGGGGCCGCGGGTGGTTTTTGGCTCGCTGGGTAGGGCGGCCACAAAGACCACCCAAACGGAATGTGTTGTTTGATGCCTCCATGTTGTTGCCTTTCGGCTGCCTCAGGTGGCTCTGTGGCTTTTG